ATAATAACGCCTAGTTATTGTTGATTTATATCAAGTTTCATTAGTTCTAACTATTAAAACAAAATTACTAATCGATAAAAAGAGAGAGAAAAAAGAACATCAATTTGATGAAGTTTATTACAAAAAAATTTTTTAAACTGATTTTTACATAATTAACTTATATTGAAATCTAAAACTGTTAGATTCTGATGTGAATTATCAGAATGGGGTTTTGTGGAGACTGATATGTTCTGGGTTCGAATCTCATAAGGCGGGATTTTGGATGCTCACTTCTGAAGAGTCTCACAATAGAACGAAACGACCGTCCAGTGCTTCTAGGTTTTTCATGATGGTCTAGCTTCAGTTGACTCATGATGTCAACTATATTGTATAAATGTTAAGTAACTTAACTATTCATATTCATGTTCTTTTTATTATAAGCTTTATTTTGATCTATAGATTATTAGTATACGATTTACTGTTCTTAAGCTATGCCAGTCTCCCACATTCACAATCACTTCTGGCTAGATCTGGTACAAATGTTGTTTTCTATTTTGTAGTCTGTTTGGTTTGTATATAAACTCAGTATGTTTAAAATACATGATTCATATTACGGAGGCTGAGATTTGTGTTCTGGACTCTAACAGGCAGGGCTAGGCAGAGAGAAGGACCGATAAAGAGTTTAGACTGCTCGTACGGGTCTACATGTCATTTTTCCGGTCGATAAGTTACTGTCTTCTAGTTGGCGGTATCGTTAGGTTATATAATAATAGAGCACAAGGCCACAAGTTATAACAAAAATATAGGTATATTATTTAATTAAAATGTATAGAACTATTCTAACAAATGAATGATTGATCATTTATTCTAATTTAACCATCATTTCTATATGGTTGAATCAAGGGAATGATTTTTAGATTGTTCATAGAATTTGTTCATATCATTTCTATGCAATTAAGATAATAATATAAATATGGGTTATGTGTTGCAATATAAAAAGATGAATTTACCAGTGATGAATAGGGTGTCATTAAATGTTTCTAACGGACATTTCATTCTTTTTGCTGATCAGGGCCAGAGAAAAGGTTGTTATTCACTAAACTGCTTCATTCTATAAATGTACTGTAGCTTAGCTAGTAACAAAGGTTTATCTTATATAAAATGACAATTCGATCTCAGTTCATTACCATTCATTCATGTCGTTCAATCATCAAATAAGACAATTGAATTCTTTGGTTTTTTCGAAAGTTAACATAATTAAAGAAATAAATTAAAAAGTATTCTTAACTGGTGGTCGTGGTCTAGTCCATCATGTTACCAATGTCTACTTAGCATCTTATATGTAACCAAAAGCCACATAATTATTGATGTAGTTAATTAAATTCGATGTTATCACAACAAATTGTCAATTATAAGCAAAGATGGATAGTGGTTAGCAGTGGAATCCAGGACGCGCGTTTCGTCCTATTTGGGACTCGTCAGTTGGATGTACCTGCATCTCAGACTTGTTGATGTTCACTCTGGGACTCGAAACCAGTACCTTTCACTTCAAACACCATCGCGTTATCCACTCAGTTGCTGAGTCTTGATAGCCACTTGCTTGTGCAATGGGGTGAAGCTTGAATTCACTTAGTATTGTTTGCCTGAATGCTTGTGAATTAAGGCAATATCTAGCCAATACACACACTATGCACATATGTCAATAAGAGACTGACCAGTTGCAGTCCTAAACATCAATGGGAAGATTCAAACAAAACAATACTAATTGAATTGAAATTGTCAATTATTTGTGAAAAAGAATGATAATAGGTTTCTTTTTTAAAGTGTATGTACTGATGATGATGTCATGTAGAAATACAATAAAAATAGTACAATTATAATCTTACAACTGATAGAATTCAACATCATCAAAATCTTTACCCTGAGCTACTTATATCCTCCAACATCATCTCCACTGTCTGTCATTGTTTTCTTCCAAAAAACATATTTTTCTTTTTTCTTAGTTTCAGTTGATTGATTAAAATTATGTTTAATCTATTAGTTTGAAGATCGATAATTAGGGAGAAAAAGGGATCTGATTTTTTGAATGAACTGCACTAATACTCTCAACTTCATATTATATAACACAATCTTAATTGTGATATCAATGAATTAGTTTTCTATGTGTTGGGAAGGCTCCCAAAAAGTTCAAAGAATCCTCCAGAGGTTTTAAAGGAACTGAAGAGACTCCATCCTAACAGAACCTGATAGAACCTTCTTGGATATCAACGTGTAATGTTGTGATTGCACAACTGTATAACTGTCCTACTTGCAGATTGGCTGGATTATAATTATAATACAAACTTTTGCTCAAAACTATAAATACTCCTGTTTGTCTATACATGTTTTACTCTTATTCAATAATCGCTCCAGTACTTCTTCTGTCTTCTGATTTACGACTGTAGGGTTCTATACTTCCGAGTGCTGAATGGTTGTATATCGTATTCTGTTGTAATCAAGTAGAGAACGTAACATTACAAAATATTAACTAACAATTTATTCTAAATGTTTCACATATCTCTTTATATTGCATGCTTGATTTAATTTATTCTAGATTCTGGACAAACCCATTCACCTACCCATCATGAGTTCTGTTTTGACCTTGTTAATTATCCACTTATTAAACATGAGTGTTTTATAAGTGAGCGTATGTGTGTGTACACTTCTTATCCTATTTATCACATATCTGTCATTTATTTTTATATGAGTATTAATATTGATTAACGCTTGATTAGAGCCAGTTGGCTTACTCGCCATCTCCAACGTGCGTCATTTTCACTTCGTTCTCTCGAGTTGGCTTACCCGCCATCTCCAATGCGTGTCATTTTTACTTCGTTCGCTGATATTAACTCATATACTTATAACTTTCTGACCTGCGTCATTTGTTTATAAAACTCTAGTTGCCACTTCTTTTTGCCTTCTGATTTTATGCACCATTAAGATTTGTATTAAAACGGTTATCAGGGTGAACGATTAACGAAGCATGGCACTACAAGTTTTTAAGTAGCTTCTTTTTATTGTTTAATCGTCATTATCATTTAAGATTTTATCAAGATATCTTTACATAGTCTCATTAATATGCACACTATATAGTTATGAATTCTTTTTATGGAAAATTTATGACTGCCTATAAAATCAGTCTTTATCCGCTAAAAATTTAGTTAGATGAAGTTACAAAAAAATGAATATAAACAGATCATATATGAAGATCATTATCTAGTTTCACATTAAAACTTAACAGGCTCATTCATGCTTTAGTGAATCAGTAATAAAATGGATTTATTTGGGTCTTTTCAATAGATAAGGTAAATTCATATAAAAACTTTTTGGTATATATGTTTTCCGAAATCAATATAGAAATGGATGAGTATTTTACATGTTTCAACTAATATCATGAATGCACGAATATAAGTGTAAGAACGGCTCGTCGGTAGACTCTAGGAAGCCTTAAGAAGCCCAGGAAGAGCCGCAGACATTTCATCCAATCACTGCTAGGGGAATATTCTAGAATGTCGACATGTAGCTTCCCCATTGGATGGATAAGAGTGACCCTTATTTGCCTATTGGTTGTCTGAAATGATGATTTACTCTCAGTCAAAAAACTATAAATACACGAGATTTCTGTACTATCTTTTGACACTGATTTGGGGAATAAACTTCCTACTTACTAGTCTTTTGTCATCTTTTTTTGCGACGTTGCGGGTTCTATCGTTCAAGTAGTCTAGTAGTTGCGGCATAGTAAGAATCAAGGCTCTAGATATAACAGTTAGATAACCATGTAAAATCTGGAAGCACTGGATGGCTGTTTCATCCTAGTGTAGGACTCCTCATCAGTGTAAATTTACAATCTCGCACACGGGATTTGAACCCCAGAACCTTCTGTCTCTGAGGAGTCCCTTACTGGGAATGAAATGGCCGTCTAGTGTATCCAGGTTTTCATCTATTCATGATATCCACTGAAACTTGACAATCTTCACAACCCTATACTGATATTTTACATGTGTTTCACATTGTCATCTTCACTCTATAATGATTTAATTTTAAGAAATGTTTACACCATATTTTTATGCATTCCAAACACCATACAAAGATGATGTAATTTTCATGTTATGTATGTTGAAGGTCATTTATTTGTGAATTTCACTTAAAAAAATAAAAATAAAAATTCACTTTCTCTATTCTGGTTAAAACGTCTGCAAAGTATAGTTTATATGCAATATAGCTCTTTCTTGTCTGTCTTTAATGTCATTCTTTAATCACTCACTTCAAATGAAGAACCAGCAGAATTCCAGTATACACTAGATTATTTAATAAGAAATTCATTATAAAAGGTTTAATTAAAACAATAATATTAAACTATTGAATCTAGGTCATTGACAATAACATAGAAAAAATATTAACTCATCATTCTTTTAGCAAACAGAGATTCATTTTATTTTATATGGTTGAAATCATGAGTCAATTGAAGCAAGACCATCATGGAAAACCTGAAAGCAATGCTTGACGGCTGTTTCATTCTATTGTGAGACTCCTCAGCAGTGTGTATACACCCTTCGGATAATGATCATATGCTCACTAGTGACTGATTTCAAGAGATATTTCTTGGATTTCTAGTGAGAAACAGTAACCAGTGGAATTCAACCAGGTCAAATCACTGAAGACAATGGTGGATGGTTGTTCTATTTCATGGATTGGTTGAAGTTAGACATTAACATTGTTGGATGCTGGCCGGCACTGCTGAGGAGTCCTACAATAAGACGAATTGGCCGTCAAGCAGTACTTGCAGGTTTTCCTTGGTGGTCTAGCTTCAATTGACTCATGAATTCAACTTTATAAAATTACTAAAATCTCCACAAAACCCCCTTCTGATTTTATTTTGTCATTTTTTGTGTGTTCCTGTTAACAAATTTAACATACTTTTTCTGTTCTTCATTTTTACGTTAAAATTATTATTTTTATTTTTTCTGTTTTGTTGACAATAGGATATGGATTTATTGATTTTGTCTCTGAAGATGCTGCCAATGAAGCATTACAACAAATTAAAGAAACTCATCCATCATTTACAATTAAATTTGCAAAGGTATGATTAAATGAGCTTTGTTGTTTCTATTCTGTTTAATGTGGTCTTACTAGTTCTGTTTCTCTTTCCCATTAATTGTTTTTAAGTTGATACATAATTTTAAAAATGCAAATCATTCAAATAATAATTGAGGTTTGTGGAAATTGTATTAATTTTAATAGTTGAATTCATTAGTCAATTAAAGCTAGATCAATATGGAAAACCTGGAAGCACTGGATAGTCCTAGTATGAGATTCCTCAATAGTACGTAACCACGATCCCACTCACGGGATTCTAACCTAGGACGGTGGCGCAATTCCCTGGATTGGTGTGTGTGTAATTCTGAGGAGTCACAAGCTAGAGTAGTAGGAGTTGCTTCTTAATTCCTAACAGTTGGATAGAGGATAAATAGTTCCAGACTGTAAATTCATCTTTTCTCATGTTCATCTACTGAAATAGTGTCTCCAGTGATTGTATCTACCGATGGTACAAAGCAGGCTTGTAAATTCAATTTTCAAAAGGCTGACTGTAGTAAAAAAGATGAACAGTAAGTTCTGTTACTAATGTCTACAAAGTTCTCTGTCAAGTTCATTTTGATACTAGTATCTTGTCGACGGTTATGTCAAGCTTAAGACCTTGGTTGTAACTAATATCTAAAAACTTATTAATTTCTAGATAAATTTACTGTTCAGTCACAACATGGAGTTTATGATCACTAGTCTAGAAATGTTGTTTCAATATGAACCATATTATCTCATAGATCACTAAAGAATTCGAACTCAGAAACTGTCAGTCTCATACACGAGCGCTTAACCACTAGACCACTGAGACGGTCGGCAACCAACGGTGTTAATGTCTAATTTCAACCGATCCTGGGTTCGAATCTCGTGAGGCGGGATCATGGATGCACACTGTTAAAGAGTCCCACAATAGGACGAGTTATCCGTCAAGCAGTGCTTCCAGGTTTTCATGGTGGTCTATCTTCAATTAACTCATGATCTCAACTCTATAAAATTACTAAGATCTCCACCAAACCTCTTTCTGAAATTGACTAAATACCAGTTAGATAAATTAGATAAAGTTTTAAAATTCAAAAAAAAAACACAACTTATATTTCATAATCGATAGAACAATTATTACAATTTGAAGAGGACTACATTATGATTTATATTATTATGTTCGTTTGTGCCAATGAATTCTAATGTAACTAGGCAATATTCATTGGATATTGAATCGTGTTTTTTTTTTTAAAATTCAGCCATATTTTATCACAAAGAGGTTTAGTTTAAATTTGATATTTTTTTGTGAAAAATTAAAATACTACTCACTACTACTACTTACTAACACCAACAACAAGAACAGATAAAGTCTTAGAAATCGTAACATTTCATTTGTTTAAATTAACATTGAAATATATCACGTAAGTACTTAAAAAAACTATTCAAATTTCAATAGTAATAACTTTCTAAACGAACTTTCGTTTAAATTAGCGCAAATAGATTCAAAGTATTCGGGCGCCGAATTGATATGAAACTTATTCTAATCCACTATTTTTTTTATCTTTCGTTAGAGAATTATCTATTCTTGAATATAAATAAGAAATTTAAGATGAAATTTTGTTTATCCGTTAGCAACTAAATTTTATGTTGCCCACATATGATTGTGTATGAGTGTTTGTATAGTGTATATCTTGATGGATTATCATTTTCATGGTTTTATAAGAGATAATATTTAACAATCTTGATTAATGTGATTGTGGTGACTTTAGGCTGAGTTTTCAAAAAGAATTTATTTATTTATCTATTTGAACACAGAAATATTGGTACAAAGGGGCACCAGGTACATATGCGCCACACAAATCTCATTCGATTTGTGTGAGGGCTATGATACTGCTCGGGTGCTCGGGCAGTAGAGCATCGTGATGAGGTGCAGTCCCATGGTAGCCGGTGACCAACAATTGATTCATACGCCATTTGTTCCCTCAGGATACTGGAGCCAGCCCATGTGCACCATTGATTTGGAATGAGGGTTTTCCGACTCCCCTAGGTGGACCCTTCGTGTTCACCATCCCGGTTAAAGCGCCGGACATTCGCTTTTCGTCCTCTCACTTTTGTGAACAACACTCCCGCCACGAGAAGGCAGTGAGTAGGACTTCCCTAGCAGAGGCTATATATTTGCGTGGCCATATGAGAACATTTCGACAGGGAGAGCGGACTCTACTCACTCTCGGCCATACCAGAGCATTCGGGGGCTCTCAAAAAGAAAGAGAATGAATAACAACTATTGATTACGATGGTAATGCATAATCTATTGATTCTGTGAATTTTATTGGTCATAGATTGAATTTATTCGTGAGTACGTTGAAAATCAAAGAGTTATAGATAGCTGTTGTATTCTGGTTTAATATTTCTCAGCAGTTGTTCACACGTAACGTCAATAAGGATCAAGTTTTTTTCCTTTCATGTTTCACTGGAAACGCTGAGCTATTAGAACTACTAAGCTAACGTCTAATGGTAAATTTCTAACTTCAATTGTCGATATAACATAACGATTGTCTAATGTTACAGGTGACAATTAGTTCATCCCAGAAATATCTGAACTCCACTAGCCATGGTTTTTTATTAGAACTCTTGTGATAAATACAACCAACAAATTGATCAAGCATCCACAATACTTATTCCACTAATCTGTTTGATAATTGATAGAATTTGTTACCTTGATTCACCATTTACAGTTACATAATCTCTACCATCTGTATGTTTGAATATATATGAATGTATTTTTCTTTGTTTGATTCAAAAATAGTGTCGTCAATAATAAATAGTATTAGAAGTTATTAGAAGAAAAGCCTTGAACATAGGTTTGACCTCCAGCCAGTCAGACAGTCAAGACAAATGTCAGAGTAGTCAAAGTAGCAACAGTATCAGTAGTTGTTGGAAAGATTATTTATCAATGATATGACTCGATAAGTAGAAAGAAATTCGTGGAATAAGAAGTAAAAGATAATTTTAAAATTCAAGATCTAAGGGAATGAAAAGCGTAAATGCATGTATGCAATTGTTACCGATTCTGAGTCATAACACACAATATCTCCAAACATTGGTTGTGACTATCGTGTTGATCTCAACCAGGTAGATTGTATGCACCAACATGCGTCAATCTAGCTTTTTCATTATTAATTTCTTTTCAAACCACTCCTACACCAGATAACACTACGTGTTGAGGTAAGAAGTGTGTGGACGTATTTAGTACACATCGAAACCGACTCAGTCTATGAAGGTTCTCATCTTTATCAACCGACTAGCTATCTTTAATTAGTACCCTCAGCCTAACTTCAGCGTTATTTTCTTGGTGCTTCAAACATACATAAAAATGCTTTGCAAGGAATCTGTTATCAGTTTTCAGGTTTCGACCGGGTCGATACTTGTCAATCAAACATCTCTGGAACCTTGAAGAAACTAGTGCCTCATATATAATTCGTAATAAGCATTTTCATGCAGTTAGATTTCGAGATGTTGTGATATGGCGGTTAAGTTTAATTTATATTTAACAATAAATTCCGCTTATGAGCTGATCGAAATCCTAAAATTTTGAGACAAGCAACTTATTACTATTTATATTTGAACGTGATAATCTACATTCTAACAAGGGGTTGCTTGTAAATAATGATGAAGTTAGAATTAGGATACTAATCGATAATGCCAGATTGGTTGATGAGACGGTTAGTATTCATCAGCTGAGGTTATTGAGATATATGTAACATATACTTAATAACCAGTCACCTCGATGCACAATGCTGAAAGGATTAGTAGTAAACTGGGAACAAGCTAAAGGTGACCAAACCGAAATGGAGCAAGTCATTGAGTTTTAAGCTGAATTGCATTGGAAGATGAAGATTATCTGGTTTTGTGATCTCCCCAATAACCCAATCATTAGTTAGTGATCTAAGGTGACATAGTGTGCGGACACATCATGCTCGATCTATTTTTCTATCTTCAACTCCATTATTATTATTATTATTATTATTATTATTATTATTATTATTATTATTATTGTTAATACATTTTAATTCATGAATTATTCTTTTCTTCTGATCAACTTCCATATTCTCCATGTTTAATCTATCTCACAATCACTGGTATTAAGATTATTCTTACTCACTTCGATATACATTTTGTTAATTTCATCTTGTCGTGTTCAACAGATATTCACCTTGATTTTATGCATAATTATGCATAGAGGACATTTTAACATTGTCTATTGTTATTAGTCTTATACCTGGTAACCAATTTAGAAGAAGTATCTTGAAATAAAAACTTCTAGCTTAACAGAAACTCAAATATGAATTTAAAGATGATTATCAGATCAACCATATAAGGTGTTATGTGATTAGATTTAGTCGACAGGATATCCTATTTAGCATACCTTTCATGCTATTTAGGACTCGTCAGTGTGACGTATCTGCAAGTTTAAGAGAATTGATGTTTCTTGTGGGATTTGAACTTGACTTACCTATTTCCACAGTTTAAAGTATTACCACTAAGCTATTCACGTCTCTATTAACACTGTATGACTGATTTAGTACTGAGTATTGACCGAAATAAAGTATCAATTAACTCAAGATTATAGGTGTATGTTTTACTGACGATTCCCAACTGTCAACCAGTGTTCCTTGTCTACAATCTACAATCATCTAACATATCAATATAGAACATGTAATGTTGTAAATAATATTGGTTACTGCCTTGTGATCAATTGTAAATCTTATTAAAATCAATAGCCAATAAACAGGATATTATAATCTCATGATGGTCTTTTGAATGATATGGCAGTACAGTATTTACAGAATTTATCTATTACATAATATATATTTCCTTTACTTGATATATCTTTATGTTTCATATATCAAAAACAACTTAAACATAATGTGTAGAATTATTTTTAATTATTTTCGAAAGTAGGTTTCATTCCTTTTTCAAATCTTTCAAAGATCTTTGATCTCAATGATGAAATTCTTCGAT